GAGATGTCGAGAGGCATTAGGTGTGACAGAGCTCAGACGAGCTAACATTGACTGCGTCTGAATGAGACTTCATTTGAGTGCCAGATCTCTGCTCAACATCAGCGTCCAGCTGCATTCAGACCTGTGGCTGCTAATAGGAGATATAGGAGCATCTACTGTGTCATAAAGCCCTCATCATAACCCTCTGCTGCTGGATTAACTCAAGACTAAGTTCTGTTGAGAACAACTCAGCACTGAGCTGGACTGCCGTTACTGCATAAACACAGTCGTGGCCAAATCAATCTTCACTTCCATTTCTTTTTCATTGAAATAAACCAGCTACTAATATATGTGCGAATTTAAACCAGGTTCTCACATTTCTGACTAATGGATTTCCATGATTGTCGAATCAGCCGTGAATACTGGGTAAGCAGCAGTGTTGAGTGCAATGCATTCCAGTAATTTAATTACTTTTCCCTTGAAAACGTAAAGTAAGGTATTACTTTTTATTATTCTGTAATTTAATCAGTTACTTCTGATGTAATTGCATTAAATACTATACAATTTGTATATAAAACAATAATGGATTTAACATCAAAATGTAATCAAAATCTAATGTTAATGTTTGTTTTTAAGTAACTTTCGCCCATTAAATATTCTGGGCTGCGTTTCTCAAAAGCATCGTAAGCTTAAGTACACCGTAGACTCATTGAAACCAATGGAGCTACGATCAACTTAAGCTTACGATGCTTTTGGGAAACGCAGCCCTGGTCGTTCAATGAAGTATTTATGCAATTTATATTATTTATTTGAAAAAATTAAAAGAGCAGTTTCATGTCAATCCTTCTATTGTCAAAGTTGATATGGGATTTAGAACGTAACTGGTAATAAGTAATGCAATACTTTTTAGAGAATGTAATTAGTAGAGTAATCGAATTACACTGTTGAACATAATTAATAACTAGTAATTATTACTTTTTTGAGTAACTTAAGAGTTTGAGACACAAGGAGTTTGAGAGAAAGAGATTACACACAAAAATAAGCAATATCCAGCTGATGATGAAATGTTTTACCAAAATGTTCCGTAACACTTTATTCTAAGGACCGATTCTCATTATTAACAAGTTGTTTATTAACATATTGGCTGTTTATTAGTACTTATAAAGCACATATTAATGCTTTATTTTGCATGACCATATTCCAGATCCCTTAATCCTACACCATACCTAAGCTTAACATCTACCTTAATAACTATTAATAAGCAGCACATTTATATTGATGCAAATGTTGCAGTTAGATAATAGTGAGAATTGGACCTTTAAAAAAAAGTGTTGACCAAATGTTTTATAGAAATGATTTTTGAATAACTTTTTAAAATCAATTTTGGTAACACTTTGCAATAAGGTCTCATTTGTAATTATTAGCAACTCTCTTAACTATCATTAACTGACAATGAACAATATATGTTTACAGCATTTATTAATCTTCGTTAATGTTAGTTATTAAAAATGCTCATGTTCATGTCAGTTCTCTGTGCATTAACTAACGTTAACAGATACAAATTTTGATCTTAAAAATGTATTAATAAATGCTGATTTTAACATTAACTAAGAATAATAAATGCTGTAGGTTTTATTAATGTTAACTACTGCAGTTAAATAATGTTAAGAAATGAAACTGTAAACAGTAAACATGATTCATTAGTAAATTAGTAATTCGTTTATTTTTATTTGTAATTTTTTTCATTATTATTTAATATAAATGTCTCTTCAAGCTGATATGCGATGGGAAAAAGAAAGTCCTGCAGTCTGCAGCATGTCCTCATACCATCTGCTCACAATCATTTAATCTGTCTAGAACAAACCCAAAAGCCTAAAAATAAAATAATGGCTAGCAAAATACATTACTACTTCTGAAAAAATTGAAATCATAAGCATATGTTAAACCATTTTATATAAATATGAAAAACGTGAAACGCAGAAGGCGATACTCTAATTAGAATTTGAAATCCTTAAACACGCATAATTATTTTAAGCACAGGATGTCTTGCAAATGTCTTGGAAAAGTACTCTTTCTGTGTGACTAATGTGCTGCAGCTTATGTCATGTTTCATTACGGCTTGAATCGAAAACTCAACATATTCCCATTGTGTGAGAACCGACTATTGAGAGTCTGACATCCAGATTCCTCAGCATTCACTCCAGTTCGGACATAAACATGTTTCATGCTGCGAGACAGAAGTGACTTAACACAAGTAAAATAAGCCTGTGATGAGAAGAAAATAATACAGCAGTCTGGCTAAGACAATAGGTTATTTAAAATGCGTTTGAGACGGGGCACCGGGGAATGAAGTGACCACAGTGAAAGGAAACTGAGGTTACCATAAAAATGAAAGCCTTTCACACACTCTATTCCCAGATCTCTATTTAGCGTGGCAAATCACCCAAAAGGGATTACACACAACTGCGCTATGCTATTTTCCAGGGAAACTTGTGGCTACATTTAGCAGCTCTTTTCTGATGTTGCAATGCCAACATATCTTTCAGACACCACGACATTAGGTCATTAAGCAAGGATAAGACACAGAAAACTTTGATTCAATTATTTGTTTATATCATCACTATTAACACTTTATTATCATTTTCATTTATAAATCATTAACAAACATTGTATAATATATTTGTAGATGTTCACTAAAGAACTTATTGAACATTACATAAAGACGCAAGAATATAAATGCTCTTAACTAATCATGCTCGACTCAAATTTTTGTACAGTAGTACAAAAGTACAATTCCTGTAAAGGTATTAAATAATGAAAGTTTACCACATCACATATGTCAGCATAAACAGTGTTTAAAATTGAGAAGATTTTGACAACAAAAGGTGCATTAGATGATATATAAATCATTTTAATAAGTTTCAACAACCGGTTTAATGGCATTTTAAAGTGTGCAAATGCACATTAATAAATAAGCTGTTAATTAATGTATAACATCTGTTATGATCATAAATTGAATGTTTTATAACATTTTAAGCATTTTAATTTACATGAACTAATGATCTGTTATTCATTATGTTCACTGAGTTCTTTAGTAAACCTTTACAAGCATATTATTTCACAGTTGTAGCTAATTAAATATATATTAACTGATCTGTTAAGAATTAAATATTGTTTCTTAATGATTTATTTGATTAAAACCATTTCTATTTTTAAAAGGGCATAATCATTTATTAATTAAACGTTTAATAAAAATGTTAATTTACATGAACTAATGATTCGTTAATCATTATGTAATGTTCAGTTAGTTCGTTAGTAAACATTTACAAGCACAATAACTCATATTTGTAGTTATTTGAATATAAACTAATGATCTATTGAACATTATGTTTATTAATGGCTTATTAATGGAAGTTATTATAAAGCTCTACCTCAGCATAACTCAATGTTCACAGAAGTCTCACAATGGCTTTTTTCATGTCATAAAATGTTTTAGCAAAAGATAAATATTGTAAAATAAATTTTGTTAGATAAATAGTTTATTATTATATTTTGTAATATTACCACTAAATAAGCTATTTGACTTTGTAGGGAAGTGAACAAGAAGGAAAGAAACATGAAATTGCACAAAGCAAAGCACTTATTTTTTAAAGATAAATTCCCTTTAATGCACATCACGTCATTTAACAGTCAGTTTTTGCTAAGGAACTTCCTAGGAAGACTTGAGGGCGACATATTCCCAGTAAACATGTTATTGTTCTTTCAGTACAATGACAATAAATATATTGAATTGAAACTGAAATTGTTTTGCCAGGTTTTGATACGGAATGTTTTCTGAGATGGGGAGCATTTTTCCTGTGTGTGTGTTTTTAAAGGGTCATGAAACCCCAGACTACTTTTTCTGAGATTTTAGCAGAGGTGTTTGTGTTGCACATCATAGAAGACAATGTTAGCATCGGATAATTATAACTGTTGGAGAAAACTGGTTCATTTTAAGCTTTTTTTGCGCTATTTTCATCTTCCGGGTTTAAAATCTACATCGTGTTGACGTCACAATGTGACGTGGCAATGGACTATAGTACATCGATGACGCGTCGGTGTCTATTAAATTATTCATGAGACTGCGTGTTCTTACCCTATGAGAAGACGCTTTGCTTAATTATGATATTTTTAATTATTAGACTGTGAGATCGCATACATTAACTGAGAGAAACGTTCTTGGATCGAAGAAGAGTGTTTGTTTTTGTTTTGTAATAAGAGTTCGGCACAAACGCGATTCATTCACTTGGTGAGCATAACCGTTTTTACAGCTCTGTGAAACAACCCGTCAAAAGGCTTATATAAACACCACAGAATAAGCCTAAAAAGTTCTCAGAGGTGCAACAGCGCATTCATATATATGCAGAGTGCAAATGGCTGTGCATTTATTTGTGTTTTTAACTCGGAGCGAAATGAAACTGTCTGAACGCGAACCTGTGATTGTTGTCTGTCTCCCCTCTTCCCGCTTCGCTCCGCAGCACACCACGCCCACTTTTTTAACATTTTTAAAAACTGTGGTGAGAACTAACCAGTGCTGAAACGGGGGGTTTCATGAGCTTTTAAAGCAGGACGCTGACAGACAGCTGCCTATCTTGGTAAACATCTTAAATAACGACGTGTCAGGGCAGTGTAATAGAAACTAATTAATTCTGTTGGCTTTGGCTCTGTCTGATGAAGTGTTGCTCAGAGATCCAATTTAATCAATGCCAGTTCATTTTAGCATCATCCTGACTGCATGTGTTTCGACGTCGGAGGCCTGACCCCAGATCACGTCCCTACAGACACACATGTATCGACTGCTGCGTTTATCAAATATGTCAGTTCAGCAATGCTAAATTGACCTGAGAGTGAGTATAAATGAACTCTAGGTAGTGCTCAGTGACAGCAGATATCTATGTTTGCTGCCCTGGAGAGATTAGTAGTCTGTTACTCTCAATTTTGTTTATTTTTATTTTTTTAATAATAGGACATTTTTGACTTACCAGTGATTTTATGTTTCGATTTGATGGCTCGTTCGCATTTTCGTTTCGCGTTGAACAGAAGATAGATTTGTTCTTCTTTAGTGAGGACATCATCAGCATCAACCTGTACAGACACACAAAATATATAATTGAATATAATTCAGAGTTGATGGGTATAATTTACCCTTATGTGGGCATATTTGTTCATATTTACCTTAAAACACTCAATGTAATAATTCATTGACAAATGCTCTGAATAATTACAGTTTATGAACTATCAAAATAACTCATCCTTAATTCTAACTCATATTTTATGTGATATTATGTAAATTCATTTGAAATTATGTAGGTTAACTAGAATATTTGGTAACAATTTACTTAAAGCCACTATGAATAATGTATTTTAAAGGTGTTCATAATGTGTGATGTAATGAATTACATAATTTCATAAATAATTGTAACCAAAGTTAAAAGGCATTAGAATATTTTAAGGTTTGTTTGTCATGTCTTTTAATGCATCATACTTTCTAAAAGTGTCAAAATAAATAGATAAGTATTATAATGTATTATAACTGTGTATAATTCATGAACTCATAAAATTCATTATAAGATTGATAAAAATCAGGAATACATTGTTACAGGGATAATTTTTTTTCTTCCAAATTGTGTTAGCACTACACTGAAAAAAAGACAAAAAGAAACAGCAAGTAACTTTGAGTTAAATGTGACATTTTAAAGTAGAAAGACTGAAATATTATAATTTTTTAAAGTATACTTTCTGAATGTCTGATTGGAAAAACAATACCACCCTAGAGTCACGCTACATTCACAATCATTAGATTTCTTGCACATAATAAACAATATTAAAGCATTTTTTTTACTCATATTTCATTAAAGACAGACAGATGAGCTGGGGATATTTGTGGTTGCTTGATGAATAGCTGGGAAGTGTGTGTCACCATACTCTTTAAATGAATTATAATTTCAATAACTGTCTCACAAACTTCAGAATGATACGGAAAATTCAGTTTGGACCATGATGGATACAGCAGCCCCCCCAAACCGTATTTGGACACCTAAGCCAAACTTAAAAATGTATGAATGCCCTCACATTAGATAACAAAATATCACAGAAGAAAGATAGCACAAGCACATTTTTCGACAATTGATATACTGTTTATCAAAATAAAGATAAATGTATTGTGATACTTTGTGGCTGTAAAACGCTAGTGGAAAATGTCAATGTGATAAATTACTGTAAACCTGTTCTTACTCTGCTAGGACTTTTGAGTGAACTTGTGGGCAATTGACTACACACACTCACAAAAAAATCACAGTCACACAAGTTGATTAAAAGTAATTGCAATTAATTTTAAATGTATAATAAGTTAAAATTATTAGCATCTCCATGACTTTGTACAGGTTTGGAAAATGGATGGATGAATGGATTATTAAGTCTGTTTTAATACCAGATGCTTTCTGAGGCCACTCTATGCACTTATTTGTACACTGTAAAAAAAATTCCATTAAATTTATGGGAAAAAACCAGCAGCTGTGGTTGCCGGAATTTTACCGTATAAAATACGGTAGCAATGTTTTAGGTTTTACGGTTTTAACTTAAATTTACAGTTAAATATCGTAATTTCACTAACTGATATAATGTTAATATACCAACCTTTTGAAGTACTGAAATCTGTTTTGTACCTTTGTAATACACTGATAACCACCAAATGCAGGTGGTGATGAGAATGTCACATGATGAACCAAAGCCCATCACAAGCAGCTTTTAACCCCCTGGGGTCGACAGTTCCGGCGGCGGAACTTTTTGCAGATTTGAATGATGACAGCGAAAAGAACTAAAATGCTCCTTCATACTTGACCGTACATATAAGAGTAATACAGCATTTAAATCTGTAAAGGGTCTAGTTTTATTTGTGTACACTCACAATATCAACAAAACATTGTGCTTTTGCAAAATAAAGAAAATAAACAGGGTGTGCTTTTAGCCGTCTCATTCTCCGCGCATATCTGTTTGAAACACGTCACTAAAATGAACTGAAACTCAGCGAATATTTGACACACACATATACGCGCGTCCTTTCTTATCAGTGATGCAATTTATTTATCAGTTATGCATCTTCTGGTAATTGCTAACAACTGTTTCAGCTGATTACAGTGTTATTAAACTTTAGATATTCAAATGTTTGTAAGCAACTGAAAAAAGCACAAATGTCAGGGCATGTCAAAACTTTTCCAGGCCCCAAAACACCCTCGGACCCCAGAGGGTTAAATAATAACATATATAGAAGGTGCACAGTTTACACAAACACTAAACACCATCATGGTAACCCACATGAAACAGAAATAATGCAATAAACATTCATTTAACAACATTAGGTGTAACACACAACCCTAATATACAAAACTGATAAGAAAAAACTAAGAGGAAACATAGTTATTTCAACAAAAAAACATCAAATTTGAAATGTAACGCAGGGAATTCTGGGAATGTCAATTTACGGTTATTCACTGTAAATTATACTGTCTTTTTCACTTCCAAAAACAGTATACTACCGTAAAATTACATGTAATGTCCAATACAGTTTTTCACATTCATAGTAAGGGAACTTACCGTTAACCATTTAACAGGTTTTTACTGTAGCATTTTTACAGTATTTTACCGTTAAATTCACGGTCATTTTTTACAGTGTATAGTGTACATTTTCTGAGAGATGTGAAAAGATATTTTGTTCCTCTAGTGATGAACAAATCCCACAGCAGTCTTATATCAGGGAGACAAACACAAAACCAACTCTAAGCTTTGAATAAATCCAGCTATTTTTATCGTTTTTAATATCAGTGCACAGTCCTGGCTAACAAAACTTTGCCAAGTAAACAAAAAGAACAATGCACAATATCTCTATAGTTTATGCACTTCATATCCCAGTTGGGTTTTGGAAACGGAAAGTGCTATAATATATTCTTATATCCACTCTGTCACAAAAGTGCAAAGTTTACTTTTAAAAACGTATTAAAGATATGGTGATTATTAGAATTATATTAGATCCTTTACTGAGTGCCTAGACAAGAGCTAAATAAGATTTACAGTGGTGTTTCAGCTGAGTAGCAGACATGATTCATCCGCACTGAGATGTGATGACTTGAATTTGGCTTATTTTCTCTAAAATGTCTTCTACTGTTACAGTATGGCAGAAATTACATAATTTCTACACAAGAACAAAAGTTTTTCAGTGGGAAACCTGGAATTATCAAAGATACCCCAGTTGGTGGAAAGTAACTCGATGGAAGTTATTGATTTTTGATTTTCAGTTCTGCACTGCAGTAATATTTAGATGTTGACCATCAGAGCTTATAGTAAACTATTGCTACGCTAATGACTCCACACAGTTTTCTTTATGTTAGATATCATGTTAGGTAGAGTTTATTCAGTCATGCTAATCCACTGGAACAACAGAAACAAGCGTTCATTGTTAATATGTTTAGTTTTTTCAGCTTCTGTATTTTATTTCCTTCTTTAATGCATGATGTGTCACAATAACTGCCAACTTGGAAATATGAGTATACCAAGTGCACTTAAAGGCAGCCTGTCTGTACCACTAAAACAGCCAAAAAATTAAAACAGATTTGCTTGAGGGTGGAGTTTTGTTTCACAGATTTTAGTTTGGATCCCCTAGACACAGACACATGGATTTTGTTCGATCGGTAAAAGTCATTTTCAAGAAAAGCTAAAAATTCATATTTTGTAAACTTATGGACTGATTAACATAGCCCCACATGTGACGTGTAGAAAAATATATGTATCGTGGCCACAAATTAAGAATTGATTCCCTCAAAATCATGGCAACATTGTATATATTTGTTTTAATTAACTCAAAACAAGGGAACAAATGAGTAAAACATGGTTACAATTGACTTAAACGATTAAGCAAATTATAAGTCATGGGAATTTTTAATTTGTAGCCAAAAACTGTGAAATTAATTAATTAAATTAAAACTTAGAAGCACTATTCATTTTATACCTACAATAATCGTGGATCTTAATGATCAAATGCAATATTATGGTAATGCTTTTATAGATGTTAAAATGGATTGTGAATACAGCTTCCAAAGATAAAAAATAATATTGGTAACACTTTAGATTAGGGAACACATATTCACTATAAACTAGGAGGAGCTTTTTTCCTCAAACTCCTAATCTGCTGTTTATTGATAATACTTTATTATATTGATACTCATGCAAAATAAGATATGCATGACATAATGTGTGGTTTATAAGCAATAATAAACAGCCAATATGCTAGTAATATGCATGTTAATATGCAACTTGTTAATAGTAGGACTAGCAGTCAATTAAAATTTTTAATCAAATTAATGACATGGTACGGCGATTAATTAAATCTAATGAATCGCAAACTAAATTTGGCTGTGAAAATACCCACAAAAGATTATTTAAAACTATTAGGCCCGGTTTCATAGACAGGGCTTAGCCTAAACCAGGATTAGGCCATAGTTCAATTAGGACATTTAAGTAATTTTTATAAACATTGCTTAGAAAAAAAGCATTACTGGTGTGCATCTTAAGACAAAACAAAGGCACTGACATGTTTTAAGATCAGTCAGTGCAAGTTTCTTTAATTTGAAACAGCTCAGATTTACATTTTAGTCTAGGACTAGGCTTAAGCCTTGTCTGTGAAACTTTGGGTTAGTGTGTTAAATGAGAAAGTATCAAGTAAACATTACAAATAGTAACTTTAGAAATAAATATTTGATTTGATTCAACATAAAATTTATTACACATAAATGTTTAGGCTACAACGGCCTAACATAAACAATGGAACATAAAAGATAATTTAAGAAATATATTCTCAGTATTTTTTGCAATGCAACGAAAGTCACTGGTAACCAAAACAGCTTTGTTACCAAGTCTTCAAAATACCTTCTTTAATGTTGCGCAAAAGAAAGTAAGTCGCGTTAACGCATTAAACTGACAGCCCTAGTTAATAGTGAACAGTGTTCTCTAATCTGAAGTGTTACCAATATTATTTTTGTCTTTTTAAAGCTGCATTCAAAATCCATTTGGCTCAAATACGTGAGGGGGCCCGTCTGTTTGAACGGGAATGACGCCTCTGAACATTTCCAATCAAGATCTGAGCTGAGAGACTTCACCACAGCCATAACTAGACGATCTCTTTTCTTGAACAAGCCACGATGATGGGAGAACAGCCTATTTAAAATCATCATCATTTACCCAAACCAAAAGAATGTGCTATTTATAGATGACAAATGGCCACATCAGGCCCTTAGAGATTATAGTATGTTGCTTGCAAAGCTTGTTAATAATGTCAGTGTCACCGCTTATAAGATCAAATGAATATTTCTTATATTGACACTGAGAAAATGAACCCTGCATTTGACTGTCAACATTGATTACGTCCAGCTGAGCTCCAGTTACTGTTTAGATTGCAGTACATTGATTTCCTTTTGAGGGAAGGTGTCAGTGCCTGCACTGCCTTGATAGACCTGCATGGCTGGAGTTTCTTTCTTTGTTTTCACTGGTTCTGTTTAACATAGCATTCTACACAGTACATGTGAAGTGTGCACAGTATACAAATTTTCTGCATGCACAGAATGAATGGATAACTTACTCAGTTTGCTGTAATGTGCAATTAGCAGAGCATACTATGCTGGGCACTGTATCCCACAATGCAATGTGCTCTACCTGACAATCCATTTCCAGCAAGGAGGTCAATATAATATCCAGACCCACCTACAATAATAGTGCAGGTAGTATTAATACAATATCCAGATGCAGGTATGCATTAAAACCGTTTAATGCACAGGTAGTTCCAAGTCAGTTTAATCACCATTCCATATTAATGCTCTGCTTTAATTGATGCACACAAACACACACACACACACACACACATATCACTCGCACACACACACACACACACACACACAGAGAGAGAGAGGGAGAGAGAGAGGTCGGAGATTGCAGATTGCGCTGCCCACACACATAAACTTGTTGTCAACGCTTCTCCGCGATTTTTATTAATAAAATAGCCTAGATACTAGATCGCTATATTATATTCCTCAACAGCGAGGTGGTAAAATCACTGTTTTTGAAGTAATTAATTGTTTGTAGAGAGACGCGCAGACGCAGGTAAAGCACACACAACTGTCATCTCTCTCTCTCTATCTCTTTCTCTCGATCGATAATTAATTGAAATAAATGCTATAATTCATTCAAATAAATGTGATCTTACTGCACTATTTAAATGTGATCTTACAGCACTATTTCATCTCTGTGTCTGATTTGAAGCGGGCAGAATGCTAGAGCTAACGAACCGTAACTGAGGAAAATAACTGTTATTTTTACCCATTCAGTCAAATATTGCACTGCAAAGAGCAATACTACTTTTAACTTGTCTATAACTTGGCCTCCACGTCGTGCATTTAAAATCCTTTAATGCACGGCAAACTGTTGATTATCCCTTACATATACATATATATATATATATACAGTACATACATATATATATATGAAATAATAGTAAAACTACACACACACACACACACACACACACATATATATTATATCATTAATAGTATATTTTATAAATATATTAAATATGAAATAAAATATA